CAAAGTATTAAAATAATATTATTTGATAGCAAAATATAATTAAAATTAAACAAATATTTAATTGTTTCGAGTTAAATGTAGCAAATAATTTTTTTCTCAGTATTTAACTGCTTTTATAATAATAATAATAATTTTATTCGGGAAAATAATATTCCAATCCGATTTTTTTATGTATATTTTATGATACAAAATATTCATAAATACAAACTTATACAACACACATTTTTTTCTCTTATATTAACATATAAATATATTTACTTTTTTAATTACAATTACTTTAAAAGGACGTCTCATCAAAATATGTATACGAAAAATTTCCTTTAAAAACACATTTGCGCATTCAACGAATGTGGGTTACTGAGTGGTTTTATTGTATTAATTATTATTATTTATTATGAAAAAAGGTAAAAAAAAGCATTATTAAATATGAAATATTATACTAAGTCTTACAGATACCAAAAATCGGGCTRCTTGCAGAACCAGATATGAACCTCTTCTACAATTTTGTTCATAGATGTTTTTACAATAAAACCACTCAATAACCCATATTATTTGAACCCGTAAAGTATGTTTTATAAGAAAACCGTAGATAAATTACGGCCTGTAAAAACGGCGGCTATAAGACTAACAACGTTATCTCCTGAGCGTTCTATGGCTACATGTTTCAGTAACACATCCTGTTAATATCATCCATTACAGTAACCCACTTGTAACCTGTACAGTAGAGCAACATCCACTTTTCCGCTTTTTCAATATTTATTTTTAAGTATAAATTTTAGTGTGATTTAAAATAACTTTGTCCAAGCATTAGTATATTAAACAATATTTAGTGACAAATAAAATATATGACCATATAGATATATGCAAAAATAAAAAAAATATTCATTTGAACATTTGAACCGTTTAATAATCGCATTAAATAAAGTTATGTAATAATATTTTTTCACTGTTCACTGAGCAGCATGTGATAGCAGGTCGCCGTGTATATTTGGAAAATAAAAACATAACGGCGGCATCGGATATCGACGGTATTCCCTGTAGGAAACGAGCGAGAACGACAGTTGTACTTTAATAATAATCCTAGTTGGCATTATCTGAAAATTATATAAATAATCGTACGAATGTCGTCGTTGTCGTTGTCGAGTAAATTACCGTCATYTAAAACCCGTGTAGTAAAAATATTATTATGAAAAAAAATTTGGTTGGTCGTTGGAGTCAAAATTTTTTTTAATCCACGACTTTTTTTAGTTATATAGAAGAATATTTTTAAAAATGACGCTACCCAGAGGATCTTATATTAGGTTAAGGMTTGCGATACACCATTGAAATACTTGATTTTTATAGTTTTATTATATTTATTTTCTTTATATACCTATATTATCCTAATGAACTATTGAACTTAATACAATTTTTTGTTTTCGTTTTATTATGTTATACTTAAAATCATAAATTAAGTGTAGCTAAAAGGTATTATATTGTATTATATTGTATTACTACATTCATTGACTGTTGGCAATACAAGGTACACCAGGTCAATTGGTTCATAAAATACTGTTTTGTTAATAGGACCCGGGATCATAATACTCACATATTCAGTGGGATTTCTACATACCCAATATACTAGTCATATATTTGGAATCAAGAAAAAAAAATATTCTATTGAGTAGCACAATATAAAGGATTAACTAACAATAATAATTTAGTTTAAGGCCAAGTGCCACATCATTGATGTATTTATTTTTACCTGTTTATCTAAAGAGTTGTTTGGTGAGTGCAAACCATCATCAGATAATCCATACAAGCTTTTGCTGCTACAATTACTTGAAATTGAATCATTCTTTTTATGCTCATAACTGTGAACAAATATGCTTGAATAGTAATCAATCATACATATTTTAATTTAATAATTTAAAAGTTTGTGCACACTATACTTAATATACTTTTGTTTCTTTCCAGTTCCTATTAATGAATTAGCACATGATGATGGTATATTATCTGATGGTTCTATTTGACAAGAAATTCTGAACGCYTCTCTATCATCCAAAACTAAAATTGAATGAAACCACTGATCAAATACCGAATCTTCAGTTATGTTATATGAATTTGCTGCTCCTTGAAGAAGTTTAATCTAATATCCAAACAATTAAGATATTTAAGATAGTAACTGATAGTTAAAATCAAATCAAAAATTAAGACAGAATCTAAAAAGTATGTACATACTTGAGCTAATACTTCAAACTCTTTTCTTTTTTTATCAAAATTAATTAGACCATCAGGCAAGAGATCAGGAGTTGCAGCATCAATCATGGTCAAATCAGTTAGAAATGTCCCCAAGTATGGTATAGTTCCAATGTTTAACTTCTAAAAATATTTCATTTATTTTATTAAAATATGAAAAAATTATAATTGGATATTATTTGTTGTATATAAAATGCACAATATAACTCACACTCATTGTACTATGCTGCTTTTGAATAATTTTTTGTAAATGTCTATCATTGTGTCCAAATGTGTCAGCAAATTTCGCAGTACCTTCCCTTATTAATAATTTTCGTTGCGCCCATTGATTATTTTCTTCGCTAAATATCCGTGCAAGTTCTTGAAACAACTCCACCTAGGGATTTTTTTCATGTACATTTATGTATTAAAATATTTTACCAATATTATTTTAAACAGTTCATTTGATCAGTATTACCTTGTCTCGAGGAACCGAATGCCACGTTTTTTTTAATCTAAATACTGAATTGGATTGTAAGCCAGATATAATTGCTTTTAATGAGGAAAAATTCTTAAGCACCCTTAATTCCTATAAAAATAATTAAGATAATTTATAAACTTATTAAATATTATCATTACTATACTTGAGCAATGTCAATCCAAGTTTCAATAACACGTGGTCTATCTGAATTGATCGCCAATATCACAGTACTGATAACTCTTAGTGAAACAGCGTTGAATTGATCAATTGTAGCGAGGACTGTTGGTGCAGATCCTGCTCTTTTATTCTTAGACCAAACGGCGCCTAAACATTGATGAGCAACCATACTTCTTAAGACATCCTATGTAAATTAAATATAGGTTAGAAATATTGACATAAAATAAGGTAATAACATAATAACATACACGGTCCATTCGAGTTAACTGCTCAGCAAAATGCCTTTCTGCTATGTTTGGAAAATTGTAAGGAGAATGTGGAGAGTTTGCAATAACTAAGTCAAAATCATCACTAATAAATGTAGTAGTGTCTAGAATTTTTAAACAATTAGCTTAATATTAAAAAAAAAAAATAATAGAAAATTTAACAAACCTAATTGTTTACATTCTTTAAGGAATCGTTCAAGTCTATATGTTGCTTTTATGTGAAGTTCAGTTTTTGGCAAATATGTAAAAGTAAAGGAATGTAAACATCGTAAACAAGTGTGTAAAGGTGGATCACGAAAGTCTTCAGGATATGAATCCAACCAAACATGTAATGCAGATACAACAGTCCTAAAATGATATACCATTTAATATTATAYTTACATTATGAAAAATATAATTATATTTTGGTTATATTTTTATTTTTATAAAACTTATTTTATAACCATGGCATAATATTATACAAATCATATAAAAATTGAATAAATATTTTATAAAGTAATGATATATATAACACTAGATATATAAGAGCATATAAACTTTTAACAAAAAATTACTTTTTATGTGGTTCGATCATTGATTCTGATAAGGCTTCTTTGTTATTTACTAAATATTCATACCTAAGAAGAATAAAATAAAAACATGCATAGTAAAATTACAAAATGTTATAACTTATAATTTTTATTGCAATATAATATATAAAATATTGAAATATGAATTTGATTCGATTATATGAATATAACAGCACTCAAAATCATTAATTTTCAACCCCATAAATAATCTAAAATTCAATATAAATTCCAAGGGTATCTTTCATCTTAATGTTTACAGAATCTAACATACGAGTTATTAAGATTTTTAATTTACCTTAAGAGGACACTAMATCCACATGTGTTGTCTCCGTCTTACGCGTGTACTACATAGCAAATTTTCTTTCGCTAAATTCAATAGTGTGCTGTTAGTTTTGAAATTAGAGCGAATTGACCCACTATCAAACTTTTAGATAGGAACATTATCTGTGTTTTCCTGTTGATTTTTTTACAATATTTAAATTTTTAAATGAGTTATGGGCATGTTAAGTGTGAATATTTGAAAATTCACATAACTCATTTAAAAATTAAAATATTGTAAAAAACCAACATGAGAACATAGATAATGTTCCTACCTAAACGCTTGATAATTCACTTCACTCTAATATCAAAACTAACAGCACAATATTGAATCCAGCGAACAAAAATTTGTTATGTAGTCGCGTGTAAGACGGAGACGACACATGCGGGTGTAGCGTCCTCTTAACTAAAACTGTTATTTTTCAAATATATAATAAATAGTTAAATTAATTTTCTTGAATAGCTAGAAAGTATAAAATTCAAAACAAATGTAACAGAATCACAAAATAAATCGGAGTAAATTGATATTTTATTTAAATAATAAAATGAATATGAATAAATGATCTGTCTCTAGGACAGCAATTTTCAGTGTGTCCACAGCATAGGCGCAACTATTAGCTTATAAAACAAAATATACTATGTTTAAAGAAATATTTATRTAAAACATTATGATGAAATAAAACAATATTCATAGGTACCTTTCAATTAATAATGACAAAACATGATGAGGTGATGCAAAAGTTCTATAGGTGGCAAGAAATATATTCACAAATGTAGATTCTAATTCACCATCATCTGATGCTAAACTATTAACCAATTTTTCAATTGTTCCAGCTTTAATGAACTTTACTCTAATCGTCTCCCATTCTAAATGTGATCGTTCATCATCAGATTCCTAAAATAAATTCAAGATAATTTATTTATTAAAATATCATAAACCAACAGGTATAAATTAAAAACAAATTAGGTACTAGTTTATAAAATAACGTACCAACAGTAGTGTTTTTGTAGGATTTTGATACCGGACTTTTTTTAAATAAATTGTGTAGACAGCCCCTTCTTCTYTTTCTTCACCCCATAATTTCCATGTTGGCTGCTAAAAACCAAAATAATAAGTACATAATTTATATTGTTGGTTGATTTAATGATAGGTAGATAAAAAAAAGGACCTATGACTTATATTCTCAAAATAGCCATAAAGTGAGTGCATCTATCACAATTTCTAATTCTCTACGAGTTCTGAGTTCAATTAAATTTTATTTTTTATTTTTCAACTATTAATTTAAACATAGGCACTCGCACTTTGTATCRATTATCATAAGCACCCTAGACATGAAATGGTAAACCAAACTTATGTGTATAGTTTGATTTGCACAGCTTTCTCTATTACAAATAGGTTCCTGCCAAATCATCACTGACCCGATTGAATAAATTAAAATTGGGACGTCCTACTTTTGAGTTGGCCCTTTTCGAGTCTCCTACACCGGGATTCCTGCAGTGTTGCCGAGCACGCAAATCAGTGACGTGGAATAGAATTTTATAATTGAAAAGAAGTTCGTCTCAAACTCACCGAGGTTTCGGCATCAAAATTCATACTTGTCCGCCTGCATCATAGTGTTTTGAAAACTAAACCGAATCCTGGTCKTGTCTCGTGTTATCTGCACCGTCGTTGGACGGTGACAGCGGTCACGGGATGCGTGAAATCAGGCACCAGCAGTACGGAGAAGTGTCGATTTTTCAAAGAAAGATTCGGGACGATATYGCTAACGTTGTCAAACGGCGTAGCGCGTCCGTGTAGTTTCCGTGAGAACCACTTATGAGTTCGTACTGTTCGTAGTTACGACGATCGACGTCCGACGACGACGGTGTGGTGATAATAATAATAATAAGAAGAAACAATACAATGGCACACAAACGCACACACAGACAGATGCTGTTATCAATTTTAAAAATCGTTAACAGTCACTTGTTCGAAATAAAAAAAAAAAATTATATTTTTATAATATTTTTAGGTACTATTTATTTTTATAGAAACAACTATAAAGAACATAACCGCGGGACGGTTGAATAACAAGTGCTAACAACTAGTCATTATAATGCAACAGGTACGCGATCGTAACGTCGCTGCTTGAACACGAACCGCTGCGCTCTCCGGTTCACATCTTCAAAACTCTAAACATCGTTGGTAGCGCTTATATCATCGTCGGTTGATGCTGCGTGTGTATATTTAATTTTATGAAATTAATTAGTACCTATGTATAAATTTATAATAGGTACCTAGACCTTTTCCAGGGGCACATTAAGGGGGGGAAAGGTAATTTTCCCCGTGCAGAAGTTTTACTGGGGCGGTAAATTGTTTGTAATTTTTTTTTTTGGTATACTTCACAGAGTCAAAAAGAAAACATACAAATCGTATGATATAATGGAAAACTTGAAATTAAAAAACAACTAATAATTACATTATTATTAATTTCTTATTATGTACTTTTATATGTTATATAATAGGTATATTGGTACCAAGCGCGGATTCAGTAGGGGGAGGAGGGGGCGGACGCCCCCCCAGTGGCGTCGATCACCTAATTTATCAATGACATATGTCATAGTAGATTTTATAGCTGGGGGCCCACCAAGAGGTACTGGGGCCTGGTTTTGGTTAGGTTGTGAAAAAATTAGGGTGAGGGGCAGGCCCCAGAGGGGCCTCTGAATGTACGATGTCATAGTATTTTTTAAACACTTCGG